AGCCTTTTATTGAAGAATTAATATATTCACTGGAATTAAAAATTTATAAATTCTTAACCACTGATACAGATAATTAATCTGTCTTCCTTCTTAAATTTTCATTCCCAGTTATACAGCACTATAGTTAAATAGCTTTTTAAGATATGAAAAATGTGAAAACAAAATCCATACCTTCTCCATTTTGGCATTTTAGTTCCAGTGAATTATATTTTTAAGACTGCTTTTAAAATTAATATATAATGAGATTGGTAATATGTTCAGATCTGATTAGTGGGATGCTAAATGCCTACTTGTGAATTAGTAAATAGAGATGCATCTGTATATTAGTAAATCTCCATCAAATTGAGATGCATCTAGTTTATTAAAAAATTAATAGACAATTAGATCTAAAATTCTAATATTCTAATCTGGATGAAGCAATTAAAACTATACAATATTTGAAGATGATATGACTAAGAATATTAGATACTTTTAGGCTACGATTCTGGAGAAAGTTATTCTTTTTTGTACGAAATGAGGTGCTTGGCTAAATACTCTATAATTAGGGTTATTATGAGTAATGTCCCATATAGAGAAAATAGAGTAGACTTACTCGTAAACACAATACCATTTTGTGGAACACATATGAAAAGTGCCTTTTTGGTTTTGGTTATTAAGATGTGTCTTAGCCATCAGAATTTTTTCAGTTAAAGTATCTTGACCATGAATTAAAATATACATGAATTTTAAACTGCACACAAAACAAGATTTTACTATAGCTACACAGAACAATAACCAAACTTTCCATAATTCATGTATCTCAGTATATAAATAAAAGAAGTGCAATACAAAACAAACATAGCTGGAAAAAGACTGTTTAGTGTGTATTTCATAAGTATTATTTAGTCATTTATTATAGGATTTCTTCAAAACTGCAAAACATCAAGCAATTTTTCTTCATATGGAACTTATGACTATTGCTTTATAAAAAGAAAAATAATATTGTAAAAACATATTTACTATCCCTTATCTTTTATACATCTTAAAACGTAATGAGATTCAGGAACTTGTGGATAATGGCAGAGTTATAAATGAAGCTTATTAGTTAAGAAAATATTCAGTCTGTTCTGATATTTATTTGTGGATGTAGTAAGTGCTGAAATTTACTTTCATGAAAACATGTTGATGCAATCAGCAACAGGATTCTTTATTTTGATTTAATGCTTATTATCTGAGAACTTCCATCCAAAAGACTTCAGCTTCATTGAATACATTCAAACTATTAAGGGAATATTGGTGTTTCATGAAACATAATTTAAAGATTATATACACTGTTCATACCCTACATAAATATTTCCAAATGACATAATTATAATAGAAATAAATAATATAAAAAACCATCTGCTTTAACACAAAATAAAATATTTTGTTGGTAAAAAAACAAAAGCTTTCTTCTACATCAGGGGTCCCCAACCGCCGGTCCGCGGACCGGTACCGGGCCGCGGAACAAGCCTTACCGGGCCGCTGGTTGCTGGGCGCCGCCATCTTTTTTTGGTAAAAAAAGCAATTTTTCGTCAAAAAAGATGGCGGCGCCAGCTCTTCGGGTGAGCTTTTCCGGGTAGAAAGCCATTTCTACCTGAAAAAGCTCACCAGAAGCACTGGCGCCGCCATTTTTTTTGACGAAAAATCACTTCCGGTGATGTCACCGGAAGTGATTTTTCGTCAAAAAAAGATGGCGGCGCCCAGCTGACGCCGGAACCGGGCCGCGGCGCCCAGCTGACGCCAGAACCGGGCCGCGGCGTCGAAAAGGTTGGGGATCCCTGTTCTACATCACCAATACTATTTGACAAATGTTAGCAGAATCGAATTCTGCAGGATAATAGGTAAAACATGCAGTGTGTGTAATTTATTGCTACAACTGAATTATATTAATGAATTTGTTTAAAAATTGAAAAATAAACAGTCCCTGATTTATTTAGAAGTTGTATTTAGAAGCAGGATGTATGGCAATTACTCCATATTCTTCAAGATAGCTAGTCTGAAGACAGTAACCCAGTAGGCAGTTGGTTCAAATTAAATATTGTCTTATGGCAAAATGTAGGCCTGGCTCTGGAGATTCTGCATTTGAGAGATGGAAGGAGGTCCCACCACTTTTCCTATGTGCTCTCTCTTGCACTTCTTGTCTTGCTCTCATCATTGCCTTTCTCCAAGGCAAGCAAACTTGAAAGATCTGTACACTGTGTGCCTTAAGCAGAATGAAACAGTACTGGGAAAAAGAAGGCAGAAGATGAGGATTTCTATTCAGTATGCCCAGTGGTGGGATTCAATTTTTTTTACTACCGGTTCTCTGGGTGTGGCTTGGTGGGCGTGGCAGGGGAAGGAAAATCTCCAGTCAGAGGTGATATTTTCTGGTTCTCAGAACTACTCAAAATTTCCGCTACCGGTTCTCCAGAACTGATCAGAACCTGCTGAGTACCACCTCTGAGTATGCCCCACATCTACTCTTTGAAACCACTGTCCTCAGTCAGGTAAAATGACTAACATTCTATGGGTGGTTTAGAAGATCTGCTGTTAAATCCTCAGCTTTTATTTCATTGTTATAAAATGGATGTACATATCAAAAGAGCAGAGGACATGTAAGTTGGTTGCAAAGTGAAAGATCATAGCTTTCATTTAATTTTTTCCTCAGCATTTCTGTGTATTTGCTTTAAAGTCCATTTAAAGTGTGCTGCAGCTGCTGAAAAAGCCAAAGCAGTTCTAGGCTGCATTAACAGAGGCAGTGGTGGGATTCAGCCGGTTCAGGCAAACCGGTGGTTAAAATTCTGGCTGGCCCCTGCCCCGCCCTACCCACCCCGCCCAGTCACTCCACATCCTATCTGCTCGCCCACATAGCTGCTGCTGTTCTCCATCTGGCTCCCTAGCTTGCCTCGACCACACGGTCTCTGAGGAAGAAAGAAAAAGAGAGAGAAATTTGAGAGAAAGAGAGAGGGAGAAAGAAAGACACACACAAAATACCTGTTTAAAAGAAAATAGAAACATGGCTCTTTGAGTGTTTAAGGTTGCAGATCCCTGGGTTAGGCAAACATCATAGTCATTAAGTGAACCTTGTGGTCATTAAGTGAACACTGTGGTTGTTAAACAAGTCCATTTTCCCCAATGGGCATTTTTAACTGGAAACCAGAAGGAATTGTTGGAAACTGGCAAAAAACAGAAAACCTCAGTCACATAACTGTGTGATGTTGTAACTGGTCATGTGTGTGTGTGTGTGTGTGTGTGTGTGTGTGTGTGTGTGTGTGTGTGGCTGTCAAAACTCCCAAAACAAACGTGGCTTGTCTACAGACACTAACAGGGTTGCTGCCTTTAGGCCGTCATCCGTGATCTGGTTAGCCCGAAGATAGTTGTCTACTTGGGAGACGTATGAACTCCACTGTTCCGGGTAAGTAATGTTGAACTCATTGAGGCTTCCCACTATAGCCATTTTGAGAAGGGCCTTGTAGTGCCTGTCCTACTGCGGGTGGAGCTGGGTTGTACTTAGGAGTCCTGGGGACGGATCCCTCAGGTGCGTTTGTGCCTCCAGTGTGTCTTACTGGCAGGCAGGGTGGGGAGCATGGTCCCACCAGGATTTTTTACCTGGTCTGACAACCAGTAATTTCAGCATGTCTTCAGTGTGTCTTACTGGTGGTGTGTGTGTGTGAGGACTAATCCTGCCAGGGCTTCGTCACCCAGCCTATCACCCAGTGACTTCAGTCTCTTGGTTAGCAGCAGCTCTCTCCCCTGCAGCATCCCATCTTTGTCGCCACTATTGTGTAGTGGGCTTTAGTAGGCAAGAACCAGACCAGCATAGCTGCAACAGCATTTATTGACTCAAAACTGGAACTGAGGAACTGCAGGCAGAAGCCTGTGATTTATACTCCAGGCCCACAGGGCCTTAACCAGTCATAGAACTAGAACAAGCCTGCCCAAATATAAATGTTCTAAATTTTCCTCCAAAACAGTTGCAGCTAACAGTTAGGGTCATCTAAAGGTTAGTTTCACTTTAACAGTTAACACAACTATATACATTCAATACATAACAAAGACATTTACACAAAACTCTAGGTGATAACATAGCAAATCATGCAACCCCCCTCTCCTTTCCTGTATACTTGGCTGGACATTTTTATAGAGGTTGCTTAGTGTATGCTGAATTAGAGTGAGCTTCAATGACTTTTCATTCATTTATCAATCACTGATATTGTTTTCTGAGAAAACATTTTGAAATAATAAAGAAAAATCTTTGAGCCGTATTTTGTAAAGGGTATTATATTATACAATCTAACAACTCAGTAAATCTTGTTTTGGAAATGACTTTACTGATTTTGTCTAGGTAAATTAATATAAGAGCTACAGCATGGATTTAGGAAAGTGCTGAATGCATTCATAATCCATTTCAGAAAATTTAAATTCAGAGTAAAAGTAAACTTCCTTATGTTTACATGTGCAAATCATGACAGGAGACCAGTCTCCATTGCATCTTATTACCAGGGATGGGAATCTACCTGGTCGGACTGGTTCTATAGAACCGGTTATGATTCTGCCCAGTTCGGAGAACTGGCAAATCATGCCACTGGCTGGCCCTGCCACACCCACTCACTCCTTACCTGGCATGCGCGCCATCCAACTTGCCTGGGTTGGGTAAGTTGCTATTTTTCCATTTTTTCCCCTGTTCTGCTGTGCCGGGAGATTTAGATTAGCTAGAAAGCAGGAAATTGTTGGATTTCTTGCTTTCCAGCTAATCTAAAAGCAGAACTGAACCCTCCTTAGGACTGAAGTTTCTATTTTTCAGAGCAGACTCAGGTAGTAGATTGCAGAATGGTAGATCTCTGAGTAAATCTGTGATTCTGTGAGCAACTCAATCTGCCTGTCTGCTTTGCCTGATTTTGGGTAAAAGTTACTCTTTTTTAAAGAAAAAAATTAATATTTACATAAATATTTACAATATTTATATACAAGCCACGCCTACCCAGTCAAATGACCACCAAGCCACATCCACAAATTAGGCCATGCCCACAGAACCAGTTGTTAAGAAATTTGAATCCCACCCCTGCTTATTACAATTTAAAATTACACTACTGTAGTATCAGTCTTATGCAAACCATACTCCTCAGAGTCTGTGTTTCCCCATGCTGGATCTCAGCATTAATACACCTTCTACAGAATCTCCAGGACAATCAATCATTCTTTGCCAAAGAAGGCGCTCTTCTCCTTGAGAATCCATCCAGTCAACTTCTTTGCCATTGCTTATACCTGGAATATTGCAAAGCACGTTGGTCAGCTGATATTTGTTTTTTACATCAGAGGTTCATAACACATGATACTCCAGATTCACCAGAAATACAGCAACTCTTATCAAACTGTCATCTTCATTTCTACCATTGGTACAGTGTAAAATTTACAGTTTCATTTAAAATGAGCAATGAGCAATTTAGACTGGAACAAAAGCAACACAATTTAAAGATTTAATATCTTAATATTATGTTACAAACTGGAAGTTGTTGCCCTTAAAAAATAATTCCCAGACAATTCTTACAAGAATAGTGGAATGGAGAATGAAATTCCTTGAAAAATAAATCGAAAAGCCTATTTGACTCTGCCATCTTATTTTTGTATTAATTATAGGACAAGAACTCAGCAATCCTTTTTATTAGGAATTCTAATCAGATTTATTTGCTTCTTGTATTATTTTACTATTTATTTATTCTTTTTAGCTTTGCCTTTGAGGCAAGTATCAGAATGGGTTATCATAAATATTTTTAATTCAAAGACAGACAACTTTTTCTGGGTCAGCAAATGAGTGGGGATTTATTGATATATTTATCATTAGATTTCTATCCTGTCTTTCATTCACAATCTCAAGGTAACATATATTATAGCTTTCACTTATTTTCCTCCACAGCAGAGTTGGGCTGAGAATAAGTGAGTGGTCCAAATTCAACCTCCATGACCAAGCAGGGTCTAAAATCTGAGTCTTCTCCCTCCTAATCCAGCACCTTAAGCATGGAGGAGTGCATTTAAATTCCCAAAAACCCTGTATTTCCATTTCCCACATTTTTTCAATATATTTTCAAGAAGATGTGGAAAGATGAGCCAAAGGCTGCAAGAAAAAGAGCTAAACAAGTACTGATATCCATTTCTAAATATATTCTAAATATTTCAATTTTACTTCCTTTCAATTCCATTCTATCAAAGGGTAGATCTATCCACACCTACCACTTCCAATACTCAAACGAACACCACCCAGGAAAATGTTGCTGGTGAGAGGCTCCTTGTCCCAAACAGTGAGTTCTACACAGACATTGTATATATCTCTAGGGTTCAAGCCACTAAAACTGAATATATGATTCCAGTGGGGATTCACACTCTTTTTTATTACATGGGTTTTATGCTTTGAAGATTTGTTGTCAGGAAGCAAGTATCTAAGAGAGAAAAGGAAGGGAAAAAAATAAGAATATGGAGGTTTGTTATGAATGTCATAATTATAATTGAGAAGATACTAATTAAAGTATGAATCCAACCCATTTTTAAAATGTGGCCACTGGCACATCACTCAACAGCTATGTGTAATCTACAGTCCTTTCCTCAAAGGAATAAACCACAAAAAAGATTTATAATAAGAGTTGGCCACTGCAAGATTCATTGAGCCCTTTTTATTTGAAAATTTTTAACTTTCTTAAAACAAAACTCTGACATGGAACAATATTGTGATTTATAAATAATACATAGATAAGATAAGAAGAACTTTGTTGTCATTGTACAAGTACAACAAAACTGTGGATGCACCCCAGCAACTGTTCGCTATACAATAAAGCCAGAGCACTTAAAGATAAAGATAAGAAAAGTAGAGTACCCGCGTCTCCATTTGCAATTAGAGAGTATAATATCGACGAATATACACAAAATATACATCCAAAACTGACTATGAAGCTTTGCCGAGTGTAATACACAAGAGATGAATTGTGCTGTAATACCGTGTTTCTCCAACAATACAGCCCCCCCAATAGGAAGACCGAGCATGTTTTCTAGGCATAAAATGAAATTAAGCCCCTCCCCCCAAATTTAGGCCTAGTTTAAAACATGCGAAATTGTGTGGGGAAGGCGGGGGGAACTTGCCATTAGGAGTGCTCCGCGGGCAGCTACGCCTCACCATCAGCTCCCCCACCCGAGAGCGTCTGAAACGCTTCCATGGTTCCCGCCACTGCTGCCGCTGTTATTGGAGACGGCGCTGGCGAGAGAGGGACAGCTGCAGCTCGGCCTGGGTGCTTGGGATGCAGGAACGGGTTGCGCACCAGGACTTTTGCAAACTTGCAGAGCTCAAGGCTGGAGCACCAAGGGTAGCAGCAGCAGAGACGCTCGCTCGGCTCTTCTCACGCCCACCCAGCCGCTCGGGATTAAACCAAAATGCAGCGTGCGGTGCTACCAGGTACCTCAAAATCTTTTTTTCCTGTTGTTACAGGGACGGGGGAAAAGCGGGAGCGACTCAGACGCTGTTGTTGAAGACAGCGCTGGTGTGCGGGGGGGGGGGGGAGAAATTAATTCATCCCCGAAAAGACGTCCTAGCTGTTTTTTCGGGCCTCAAAAAAAAATAAGGCCCAGCCTTATTTTGTGAGAAATATTTGTTATTATACATCTGAATGGGGTATTGCGATTTCACATCTTTTCACATCTTAATACGGTAGTGACTTTGTATTTATTTGCGGTTTGGATGGCCCAGGGAAAGAAACTATTTGTTAGTCTAGTGGTGTGGGATTTTATTGACCTAAAGCGCCGTCCAGATGACAGCAGGTCAAAAAGATAATTGCCAGGGTGTGAGGGGTCTTCTATGATGGCCTTGATTCTGCTTTTGCAGCGGGACCTGGCTAAGTCTTCCAGGGAGAGCAGAGGGCATCCAATGATCTTTTGAGCTGTGTTTATCACCCTCTGTACAGTTTTCCTGTCCTCAGCTGAGGAGCCTGCATACCACACACCCAGACAGAGTGCTCTCCACAGAGGCTTTATAGAAAGCCAGCAACAGCTTCTTATCCAGATTATTTTTTCCTGAGAACCCGCAGGAAGGGCAGCCACTGCTGAGCCTTCTTCACTATGGCCTTAGTATTAGGGGACCAGGAGATATCAGCTGAAAGATGGATGCCAAGGAATCTGATCGTAGGGACAGTTTCCACTCATTCTCTGTTGATGATGAGTGGGACGTGGTCCTGTCCATGTTTCCTGAAGTCCATAATCAGTTCTTTGGTTTTATGGACATTCAGTGACAGATTGTTCTGTGAACACCAGACAGACAGGTTCTCTACTTCTGCCCTATATGCCGTTTCATCCTCTCTGGAGATGAGACCAATCACAGTTGTGTCATCCACAAACTTTATGATGGTGTTTGTTGCGTGGCTTGGTGAGTAGTCAAAGGTGTACAAGGCATATAGCAGGGGGCTCAAGACACAACCCTGGGGAGAACCAGTACTGAGTGTAATAGTGGAAAGGTGGGGGCCAAGTCTAACAGACTGGTCTTTTTGTCAAAAAGTTCTTAATCCAGGAGCACGTGGGGGTGGGGACCTGCAGATTATACAGTTTGGTTACTAGTATATCTGGGATTCCTATTGGGGGGGCTGTATTGTTGGAAAAACACGGTATTACAGCACAATCCATCTCTTGTGCATTACACTCGGCAAAGCTTCATAGTCAGTTTTGGATGTATATTTTGTGTATATTCGTCGATATTATACTCTCTAATTGCAAATGGAGACGCGGGTACTCTACTTTTCTTATCTTTATCTTTAAGTGCTCTGGCTTTATTGTATAGCGAACAGTTGCTGGGGTGCATCCACAGTTTTGTTGTACTTGTACAATGACAACAAAGTTCTTCTTATCTTATCTATGTATTATTTATAAATCACAATATTGTTCCATGTCAGAGTTTTGTTTTAAGAAAGTTAAAAATTTTCAAATAAAAAGGGCTCAATGAATCTCCAAAAGAACTCTCAGAACTGACTGATGCCTTGCCTTATGTGTCCAAAAAGCTGACAGACACAGAGTGAAAATGGGCGGTCTGGGAGAAAGAAGCATTTGCAGTACGATTGGCTTTGTTGACTTGGAGATATTTCCTAGAAGGGGTGAAGGAGCTGTTTGAGGTGTGGACTGATCACAAGAACCTCAAGGCTCTAAAGACACCTCGGAAGCTATCACCTAAATAAGTCTGCTGGGCTCAATATTTCAAGCAGTTCAACTTCAGCATGAAATATATCCCCGGAGGGAAAAACATATTGGCGGATGCCCTGTCAAGGAAACCCCAATTTGACAGTCGCCGAGAGGAAGTAGTGCAGACTATGATATCAGAAGCTCAATCGGCAAGCCAAGTAACCACTTGAGGCTAAGCCAACTGCAACCCCAGATGCCTGGAAGGCAAACTGACAACTGAGTTGAAAACAGCCCTACTGACCAATCCCTGGGTTCTGGAGCATCAAACTGAATTGACAATGAATGAGGGACTGGCTTGGAAAGGGACTAAACTTTATGTACCCGTAAATCTAAGACAAATGGTACTAAAGCGTAGCCACGACTCGCAGTTGGGGGGACACTTCGGTTTCTTAAAAACCCTACATTTAATCAGAAGATAGTTCTGGTGGCCAAAAATGAAACCTGACGTCAAGGACTATGTGAAAAGCTGCTCAATTTGTGCCATGATGAAACACAGAACTGAGAAACCCCCTGGCCTCCTCCAACAAGTAGCTGAATCAACACAGCCGTGGGAAGAAATCGCAATGGACTTTATCGTAGAATTACCTGATAGTGGAGGCACTACAATCATTTGGACTGTTATTGACTTATTCTCTAAGCAGGTCCACTTTACAGTCTGTAAAAGACTTCCATCTGCAAAAAAATGCTTGCAAAACTGTTTGTGAAGCATATCTATAGGCTACACAGAGTACCTTGTAGAATAATCTCAGACAGAGGGGTATAGTTTACTGCTAAGTTCTGGAGGGAGTTTTAAGGTCTATTGGGTCATTACAAAGGATATCAAAAAGCAGGCGGACAAACATAGATCCCTCCAACCACTGTTTACAGTAGGAGACAAAGTATATTTGTCAACAAAATATCTTAGATTGAAACTTCCTAGTAAAAAGTTGGGGCCTAAATTCTTAGGTCCATTTCCGATATCAAAAATAATCAATCCAGTCACAGTCCAATTCAGTCTTCCCCGGTTATTGGGAAAAATACATCCAGTGTTTCATAGTAGTTTATTAAAACCAGCTTATCAATGATAAGACCAATACCAACCGCACCCCCTAAACCTTTAATCGTACAGGGTGAGACACATTATGAGATCAAGAAAATCCTCGATTCTAGATTACACCAAGGACGATTATGATTCTTGGCATTGTGGAAGGGTTACCCTGGATCGGATGCTACTTGGGTTAAAAGTTGCAATGTACATGCAGATAGGTTGATTAACAAATTCCATGAGGAATTCCCCAACAAACCGAAGGATCCTTTTGGAGGGGGGAGAGGGGGTTAAGGATATCGCATTAACTTCTGGTTGTATTTTGTTTCTTTTTCTTATAGGAGCTGAAGTTCTCAAGGGGGGATGCCTGTCAGCTATGGAATCCTTATTAATCGCTGCCACATAGCTTGAGAAAGTGGGTGATATTAATTGAGTAGCTCTTAGTAGACAAAATATAATTCTTTTGATAGTTCAAGGTCAAAGAGTGTGGCGGAGAAAGAATTGGAATTTACTTTGGGATTGGTTCATGTGATGTGATGATGAGTAAAAAGGGGATGGTTTGTAGGTTGGGACACTGTGGGAAGTCCAGGAAACATTTAGTTTCGGAATTCCACAGATGTGCCAGGTGCTATTCTAATAAAAGTACTTTTGAGATTATGCTTGTCTTGGAGTTACTGACAGGAATGGATGTTCCCTGGAACTCTGACATTGCCTTTGTGCCACGCCCTGGGTCCTCCCCCCCTTATTTAGTATCATAATTTTGAACAGCATCAATGGTCATAATGCAAGGACTACCTGTAATCAATACAGGAATACTAAATGTCTACTACCATACATAGCCAAAGACAGAATGGAGGAAATCACCCTTTCACAAATGTATCTGAAGTGCCTCCTGATTTCACTGCCATTAAATTCTTGGCTTCCTTGATGACAATTTCCAACATGCCTCCTGATGGTGCTTGTGAGGTTGACTTCTTTTCTTTCTTTGAACTCTTCTTTCCTTTAGAAGAAGGAAAACAAGAATGGAGAAATATATGACTATATGAAGCTTCCATATTTTGCACTGTATCCTATCCTAAGGTTAAAAATCAATACAAATCAAACCATGCCTCTTAACCAAGCACAAATATCTCTGTACTAATAAGAGGCAACATTTTACACTATGCAACCTTATCTACATTATTTGTCCCTCAATGATTTCAAATAATTTTTAAAAATGCAGCTTTTCAGAAACACATATGCTCATTAAAAAATCTGTTCACTTAACATACCCCAGGCCAATACAATGAAATTTAAGTGTATACAAATGTTTTGAAGAAAAAAATAGCTTTTGTAATTTCTAATATGGACAGAAACCATGAAAAGGAGTTGTTCAAAATCTCTGCACAGACCACACAAAAGCCTGGATCTTGAGGTCTTGAGGGTTATATGACATAACATGAGCGCTAGTTCTTGCATGAGTATCTAGAATGGATTTATGCTCCAAACCAGATGCAACTTCAACATATATTTATGGCCCAAGATCAATCACAATAAAAGACCAGTATCTAATAACTATAAAAGGAAAATTTTAAATTACAAATACTGTAAATCAAAAAACAATTAGCAGCTTATAGTTAATAGCATGAAGCATTTCTAACAGCTATGGGCTATTGATGAAATTTTGCAACCTTCTTAGAGGTTTTTGAAGAATGGTTACTTAGGAGAAGGATAATGGCCTCCTGGTCACAATAGCAATTAGAGTTATTAATAGTTGGACCTATTGAGAACCCAGATTGCTGGGGCAATATGCTGACTCTGTAAACCACTTAGAGAGGGCTGTAAAGTACTGTGAAGCGGTATATAAGTAAGTGCTATTGCTATTAAACTTGAAATACAATTTTTGGTTAGGAAAGTGATGCTTTTCATTTTCTACAACATTCTGTTTATTATATTTTAACAATGGATGGATGTCATAAAAATAATAAAAAGCAAAAAAGGTCCAAAATAAATCCTATCTCACAAAGTGTTTATTTAAAAATTGGTCAACACATCCTCAGATCACTAACTTATCATTTTTTTTCTCCTTCCATTAAACCATGTCTGAAAAGTAGATTGCCTATGAATCTCAGAAACCTTCTCTCTGTTTCTCAAGCCTTTGCTGAATTTGGATGGTACAGCTGACCTACTTATCAGTTGTTCTCAAGACTCAGTCCTGAAACTTGGTCACCCTAAGATAAGCAGACACATGGGAATTTTGAGTAGAAATAATTGGCAGGCTTTTGCAGAATTTTGCATATAGTGAAAATCTCAAATTTGTTACCCAACAAGATGACATTATAAGAAAATGCTGTTTAATAGGCAGCTAATGAATTTACAGCTAGCAAATCCTGCCCTTGCTTCCAAAAGATGTGTTGAAGATGAATAATATAGAAAGATGAAATGATTTGTGGTTTCAAATTCTTTTGGAAAGTAGTAAACCAATTTGAACAGCAACAAATGCAATATTTTGCAGCACTGGATTTTTGTTCCTAAGCTCATGAATTAAAACAATTCAAGGGAAACATTGCTGGATGCATCAAAAGGATTCTTTTTTTTACCTTGAATCTCTCCCAGGGGAAGTGTTAGGTTCCTCTCAGGTGGGGTGTACCGTAAAGCAACTATTATTTCTCCTTTGTACTGCAGCCCAATTTCAGTGGCAATCTCCATCTAAAACAAGAAAGTAAAATAGAAGTAAGTCTTGTTTATTAATATTCTATTCACCTTCACTTTTAGAATATGTTGCACATTATTTTGCGGTATACATAGGCACAGCAAATTAAAAGAGAAGTATACCAATGAAAATGAGCTTCAAATGACCAAACCTCTACTTCCTACACTCTGTGAGTTTCCAGCAAGGAAGTAGGTAGGTTTTTTTTATTTCTTTAAAATTGTCATAAAATTGAGTTCAAGCCACTCACAGTAAAGTTTTCCAATAGTTCTTTTATTCTTGTGTTATTCAAACAAAGAACAAGGCAAGCGTGCAATTAAGCTTAAATATAAAGTCCCTTTATATTTGTACTTGTCTAATTTCAAAGTTATCTTACTACAATAAGCTATGCTCAACAAGGCTATTCAGATTACTATGCCCAACAAGGCTATTCAAATAATTGTGGCCAACAAGGCTACTCAAGTTGCTGTAAGTATTGCTACCCAACTAGGCATTCACAAAATACTCACATACACTCTCAACACAGGTGATCAGATGGTATTAAGAATGGGCTGGGAAGGACTTCCGGTTTGTCGGCTTCACGAGCGGCAGGGATTTGCAAAGCTGCGCGATCCCTGCTGCGCTAGCCGCTTTTGGTGCTCCGATCCGGACGGGTCCGGAGCAAGGCTGCCCTGCAGGGGCAGCTGAAGATAGGGGGGATCCGGAGAGGGGTTTGGGGGTGTTGCAGACCCCCTCCCCGGCCGGCAGAACCCCCTTTTCCCAAGACGGTGCAGCGGCGGTCCACAATGGCCGCCACAAAGAAGCTGGCAGCTGGGTAAGAATGTGCAGGAGGAAGTGGAGAAAGTTTTTGAAAAGAGAAAGTTTTTCTTGGTTCCCAGGACTCTAAGACATATTTAACAAAATTCCTGAAAATTATGACTTTCTGAATGATACCTTCTAAAAGAGAAAAAAAGCGGCAGTTTGGTGGTGCTGAAAGGAAAGTTTACTCTCCTTCCCTACGGAATTAATAAGCTGATATTAAGAAACCTATTTTTTTTAGGTAAAAACTGGATTTAAGTGATGAGTGGGAAGGGAGAGGACTAAAAAAAAAATATTCGTATGCTAAGACTTTGTTAGGAGATGCCTTAAGGATTTGAAGACTGAAATATATTGCAATAAGACTTTAAGAAACAGATTTGGACTTTCTTTTTTTCTGATTGATACTACCTCAGGAGGAGAAAGTGAGAACTCTGCCTTGGTTTGGACTGATTGATAACTTTGGGACTGTTTTATTTTTTTTGGAATATTCTGGTTGTTGTAAGAAGAAAGAAGGGGAAAAGAAAAGAAAAGATTTATAATGCCTTTTTCTGTTGAGGAACTGAGAAAAGAATATGAGCAAGCAAAAAAAAAAAAGGTAAAGATGGTGTGAAAGAAGCCTTCCTTTTTTTAGAAATGGCGCTTATTAACTATCAACAAACATTACAACAGATGAAGACAGCAGAAGAAGAAGAAGCCATTTTTAATGAATCTCAGAATTCGACCAAGAAAGAAGGAAGAGGGAAAGGAAGAGAAATAAAGGACTTAAGATTTAAAACAACATTTAAGAAAGGGAAAAATAAGGTGAAAATCAATATAATGATAGAAAACAAAAGGGAAAAGGAACACGACAGAGAAGGGAAGCCAGTAAGGCAGAGGCTAGAAGAAGGGGGGGTAGAAAGGTTTGTTGGGAGAAGAAAGGAAGGGAAAAGGTGGAGAAAAGCTACAAAGTTTTGAAACTAGACGGGAAAAAAAGAATCTTTTTTAGGGATAAAGGGTAAAGTATAATTTTTTCAAAAAAGATTTTGCAAGGTACATAAGATGATATTGTAGCATTGTATTAGAAATAGAAAACTTAAATGGTTTAAGAGTTGATAAGAGATTAAAGTGTTGAAATGTTTAATAATGATTGGTTTTAAAATTTAATAATATGAGGGTAGGCTTAGAATATTGAGTTTTAATTAAAGAGTTTAATAAGATTATGGTATTGATGTTATTATAAAATTTTTATTATAGTATTTGTTTTTTGGACAAGGCAATGGGAATGTTATAAGATGCAATATTTAGATCTATTGTTTAACTATGTATTTAATTATTTTGGATAATAATCTGTAGTTTCTTCCCCAAACCCCAAAAACTTTAACCTTAGACTGTCTACTATTGACCTCACCCCTTTCCTAAGAGGCCTGTAGGGAGCGTGCATAAGCGCACCAACGTGCCTACCGTCCCTGTCCTATTGTTTCTCTTATTCTTTTATTTTTCTTATATGTACCCATTTCATGTATTCACAACTATGTATACATTTATACTTATTATCTTGTAAACAATTGGCAAATCAAATAAATAAAATAAATAAATAAATAAATAAATAAATGTACTATTTAGATAGAACGTACCAAGCAGAATCGGATTGGGTATTGGGTGTTATTTTAAATGTTAATTTGATTAATTTAGGGGGGAGATAGAAAGGCATCATACTCTGATTAGTGATTTCAGGAGAAACTCTTTTTTTTTTTATAAGGAACGAGAAAAAGGGACAATAAAGAATGGACAAAAGATACAAATATAATGACTCAAATTAAGATGATTAATTAAGATAGAATTAAGAAGAGTGAAATGTGTGGAGAAGTTAATATAGAAGATTCAGAATGGTAAATAAAATAAGTAATGACATGTAAGATGAGCATGAATATAACCGAAGTCCATGAAGAGAGATACCTGGGGCTAAGTTACTTTCCAAAAAGATTTTTTTTATGTGTTGTGTGTTGTGTGTATATGTTTTTTTGGGGGGAGAATTAATAAAACCTTGCAGAAATATAGAATGAGAATAATGGTAACTAAGTCAGAAAGAAATAGATGAAATAATAATAATGAAATTGAATAAGAGTAAAGAGAAGTAAAGAGAAATTGGATAAGAGGTTTTTGTATGTTTATATGGAAATGGTTTAAAACAGAATTATAGTGTATAAAATAAGGTTTTATCTGACTTGTTAAATTTATAATGGAAAAAGGTTTAAGCATGTAATGGTTAATGATGATTTGTGTGTTTTTGAAAAATCAATAAAACTTGTTTAAAAAAAAAAAAGAAGAATGGGCTGGGAAGCAGACTCAGAGCGTCTCC